ACACACACACACACACACACACACACACACACACACACACACACACACACATTAAAGTACCTCACCCTTCTCTTTTCATTTTAAACAGGTTTGTTGGTATTTCCTTTCATATTCATTTGGCTTTTCCCAACGTCTTTGCCACATCTCAGTCTATATACTATTCATCTTTCTTGTGATACTGTCGATCCCCTGTCCCATCTCAACTGCCCACGGAAGGTGAGAAATGTTTCTTGGTGCTCTAAAGGTTGTAAAGCGCATAGAGCATGCCGTAGAGCACAAGCATGCGTTATATAATACAGTAATAATAATAAATAGCATTTGTGTAGCGCATGTCCCCACTCCAAAGCAAGCTCTATGCGCTTTACACTATATTATTACCCCAGCAGACCATAGAACACTCAGAAACATTCTCAGCTTCCCGGGAAGCATGCAGTGCATGCAGCTGGTTAAGCGCTCAAACACAAACAAACTGACACGATCTTTCACTGTCTATAGCTGGGTACCCATTCCCACCTGGGTGAAGTGGGAGAAATCCGTGTAAAGTGTCTTTCCCAAGTACACAACGTCTCGCCCGCTGCCCGAACCCCTGAACCCGCAACCTCACGAATACGAGTCCGGTACTCAAACCACTAGGCCACCGACGCCACTGTTATTGTCATCAAGTGACGTGCTTGCTGAAGAGCCCAACCTCGGCAAGTCCAGCCTCGGTATGTGCATATTATACAGTACAGTGATCTTCACTCCCTATGCAGTAACATGGCTTTGCAAGCTAATAGATAAATCTATTTATGCCCATCCGTATGCAATATTCCGCGCAATTTAGCGATGGGCGCAATCTTTTGAGCTGCGCGTTTGAACGATCCTATAATTGCGCAGCAATCTTAAGATTACGCTGCGCATTTTAACGATCGTATAGTGCAAGGAAACCTGAAGATTGCGTTAATATTTTACATTTTTGAAGAGCTGCTCACGAGAATGATACAATGCCAGGTGTCAAACTCAAAGTTCAG